GACTTTAGTACATTATGAAATGAGCATGTACCATTAACTAACACTTCTTGTGCCTCCTAGATAAATATAAAAATAAAAAAGAGCATAAAGAAAATTTACCAGAAATTTATCTAACTCCAAGTAAAAATACAAGTAGCCCTAATAACTGATTTAATATTTTCAGTTAATAATCTAACAACATCAAATCTCAAGTTAGTTCTCTTATTAAAACTCAGCTATTTATACTCCTTATTGTCTTTTTTTTTTTTTTTTGCCTAATCAAATATTTACTGTATCACCTGACTCTACATCCTAGCACAAGATAACATTTCCTCTTATATTTTAAATAAGTTTTTAGAAAGCATTAGCTCCTGGCTATGGTCTATAATTCAAATTAAAAATCAGTTAACTTTATTATTTATTATTATTATGAAATGTTTACTGAAAGGAATTTGACCTCACACCTTAGTTAAAACTCTCTGGTCTATCAAGTTGTTCCTTCCCCTTCAGCCTTGCTCTGTTCATATCTCCATAACAGAATTACTGAAACAAAGTCTTTAAACAATAACCTGGTGAAAACACCTGTGATGGTGCCTGGCTATCTGCCTAATGACACCTGAGCTTTGTCATTTGTCTGATAGACTCTGAGATCTTAAAAACTTGTAAATAACAGGCAGCCATCTATAATCCTGAGCAAATCCTTACAGAAGAGTTACTCCTTTATAGGGGATCAGAACCTGATAAAATGGATCTGAAAACCAACTCACCTTAAAAATGAAGCTTCTAGCTTAAGCAAGATGAAGACAAAATCCATGTTAAAAGAAAAAAAACTCTTAAGTGTGATCATTGAGTTCCCAAACCATTCATGATCAAAAAGGAGCAGTGAGGAAGAGCATTCTAAAACCTAAGGCACTTAAAAAGACTAAGTCTTCTGAATAAGCTGTAGGCCAAATTCCTTTTTCTTCCTCTGAGACTTACTTCTGCTTCATATGTCACAGGATGGAAAATTTTACAAAATACTGTACAGACACCATCCGATCTGCAACCTATACAAGTATGAGACCAGAAGAACTAGATGGTGCCCGGCTACCACTGTCATCCACTTGGAAGGGATGTAGGAGATCCTGGATAGAGAGGGAGAACAATGTG